TTATCAGAAATGACCCAAGAACTGTTTAGACAGAGAGGGCAGGTTTAAAAGGAAAAGACAGGAAGCTTTGCATTTCTAGAAGTTCTACATTTAGGAGACTGACCAAAGAGCAACATCTCTTGTCGTCCAAAAAAGGAAAAGGCCATCTGTGGAGCAGTGTAGTAATCATTAAGATAATTAGAAGGAAAACGGGAAGCTGGGCTGCATCTATTTCAAATGATATGACTATTACCTGCCTGATTTTAATGGATGTTATCAGGGCTTCCAAGATTTAGAGGAGTTAGAGCTTCATTAAATTAGTTTTTAGGTGGGAGGCTCCCACTCAGGAGTGTCAGGGGGATGAGGCAGGTATGCAAATCTGCAGGATCAGGTCACCTTGTCTAAGAGAATGAAGAGTGGATCTGTTGGCCAGAGGGATAGTACTGAGAGATATTTGAACACCGATATCCATTGCCGCATTATTCATAATAATGAAAATTAAATGAAATATATACATACATACATACATAAATGAATGCTTAATACATGCTACAGCATGATAGACCATGGAACTTAATGCTGAATGAAGTGACTCAGACACAAAAGGACATATTACATTATTTATTTCACTTATATGAAATGTCTACGATTGGCAGTAGACCAAATGGTACGAGGGTCTAGGAAAGAGAGAAGTGAGAAGTCTTCACTTAAGAAATACTCAGCTTCTCTACAGGGTGATTAAGTAATTTGGAACCAGAATATAGAGATGATTGTACAACATATTGCCCTTTCTGTCACTATACACATAAAATAATTAAAATGACAAATTTGGAGATGATATATACAATAAAGCCAATATTTGAAACAATGTTAGTAAATGTATAATCCTAACTCCACTACCGCCATTCCAAATAGAAGTAGCAGAACAGGCCTAGACCTCAGAATTGGCAACAGTTCACACAGACATAAGGTGCAATAGGTTGTGATAATAGTGCTTTAGGCAATGCAATCAAATAAGTTAAGCATATGTTTTCTTTTTTAAAAATTTAAACCCCCTAATATAGTGAGAGTATTACATTGTGGGAAGGGAGCTCTGGTAGCCAAGTGGTAAGGAATTGCTCTGGCAAAGCAAAAGAGCAGAGTTTGAATCCACGAGCTGCTCTGTGGGAGAAAGAGAAACAATTCTCTCACACGCGAGCTATAGTTGTTGTTGTGTACCATCAAGTCAGAACCGAGCCATAGCTGACTCTTAAATGGGTTTTCAGAAGCAGTTAATAGAATGTGAGGAGAACCCAGTAGATCTGTTCTAACTCAATGATATAAAATGACATATTGTTATATACAATAATTGGCAGGTCAAAACGAAGAAAATACTAATATCTTACCTTACCCATTTTCTAATCAGACCCATGAAGATGACAGAATGTAAGACAATCACTCAAGTTAGTAGGGACAAAATATACTCCAAAGCCACACGTGTCTGATGAAGGCAGAGACTGAGCACTACACCTCACTAGTCCCTGGCCTCTGCACAGACTCCTGAGGGAGACTTCCACCAGGTTCCTCCCCATCAGGAGTGTCCTGTAGCGCCCTCTGGAGAACCATCTTGAGAGTCAGCCTCTGCACCCTCAGCCTCCGCCTAAAAGAGCCAACAAAAAAAGTAAATAACAGGGTTGGCGCTACTGTTAATACAGGCGAGAAGTAGAAACCAGGGGACAAACAAACAAATCCCATAGTGTAATTGAGAAATGCTGCCCGGCAGCAGACAGATGAGAGAAACAAATACTGTCAGTAAAATAGTTACATAGGACCTGGTCAGCCTCTTCTGGAAACCACAGAACATCTTCACCAACAAAACCATATTAGACACTAACAGTGTCACAAATAAGAAAGACAGCCATGTGGCAAAGAAAATAAAAAATTCCATATAAGGAAAGCTAACAGAAAGTGCCGTATTTTTCAGAATGATCAGCAGCAGGGACCAAGTCCAGAGCAGAGCACACGTGACAGCTGAAGTGTGTCTTGGGCGTCGGCATCGGTACCAGATGGGGAACAGGACAGACAGGCAGCGTTCAGTGCTGATGCAGCTGAGAATGCTCAGGTCTACTACATACAGCAAGTTACATAAAAGTCCAATGAAGAAAAACCAAATATAGTCTTGTGGGATGGAAATGAAGTATATCAGGTTGAATATCATCTCAAGGAAGAGGAAGATGAAATCAGCCACGGCCAGGTTGAGAATGTAGACTGAGAAGGAGTTTCTTTTCAGGCAGAAGGCCAGAAGCCAAATCACAGTTCCATTAGCAAATAGTCCACCCGCAGCAATGATGAGTGCCAATATCCTGAAGATCAATGGCTCCATCTCCAGGTAATCAATATTTGGAGGAGAAGGCTGGTAACTTCCATTCATTGTTGTTTTTGCGATGCCCCATGCTGGGATGGTTGGATTCATGCTTAGAAACTCTCTACTGTTGTCCCTGGGAACACAAACAAGACTTAGAACTAGGTATGTGATGTTTGGGGAGGCCATATTGGCACAGTCTATAGGGAGTTGCAGTACCAATTTCAAGACAACCACTTTAAATCCACCACTAGATCCTCAGGAGAAAGATGTAAAATCTCTGCACGTTGTTACTGGTTTTTGTGGGGTTTATCCCCCGCCCAACTTTTAAACGTGTGTGTGTGTGTGTGTTCCCATCAAATCGTATCTGCGTGGTGCAGGAAGAGATTGTCCCTCCTTCTCTATCAGAGCATCTGGTGGATTTGAACTGTGTACCTCTGGGATTTTATGCACTTTGTTATTGTTATTGTGTACCATCAGTTGGGACCGACCCACAGCTCACCGTCCAGTAGGTTTTCAGAGACAGTTGATTGCACATGCAGAGATTGTTGCCCCCCGCCCCCTTCAGTAGGGCAGCTCTTGGACTCAAACCATGTGCCTTCAGAATTACCGTGTACCTTCTTGCCACTAGGGCTCGATCTTCTGTGCTTTACAACTTTGAAAAAACATCTGCAGGGTCAGCTGTGTCAACTCAGACTAAGTGACAATAAATGAGGATTTTTTTACATTCCCCACCACCAAACTAAACAAGAATCATTGGCTCAATTTTATAGAAAAGGGAAATGGGGACTTGCTGAGATTAAGTAGTTTATGATATTCTAGGGAATGCTGGAATCAGGACTCAGCTTTTTCATTGTTGTTAAGTGCCTTACAGTCAACTCTGACTCATGGTGACTCTGTTAGCCTTCCTCTATCCTGTACCATCCTCACCACCCTGTTGTGCATTGATTGCTATAGTCACTGTTAATCTATCTTATCTCCATCTCTTTTTCTAACCCTTACCTTCCAAGCATGATGTCGGTTTTCAAGGAATAGCCTCGCCTAACAGAATGCCCAAAGTATGTGAGATGAAAGCTCACCATCCATTGCCTTTAAGGGACACCCTGGCTACATAAATATGCACCAAGACATTGTTTAGTTTTTGGATTGACATTCCAGCGAATATATTCAGTACTTTGCTCTCACATTACAACTCACAGTCTTCAATTCTTATTCTGTCATCCTTATTCATTTTCTGACTTTCAGATACATAGGTCACAATTGAAAGTGTCAAAGTTTGAATCAGGTGCATCTTATTTTTTAAACCCACATCCTTGTTGCTTGCATTCTAAGGCTGGTTGTGAAATTTATGAATTCTTTCACGTTATCTCTGAGTGCTCTCCTTCCTTGGCTATGAATTAACAGTGACAGTTTTACTCTATCTAAGGACCTAGCTCCTCTCTGGTGGGTATTTGTTACGACCTCTTTGAGTTCCTCTATTTCTTTTCCCTGCTCCTTAAGCCTAACGAAGATAAGTGCACCCCACAATCACTTGCCTTTAGGGGATTTCTTAGACCTTAAATCTTGTCCTTTTTAATGCTCATCTTTACAAACAGTCCTTCATCAGATTATCTTCAATTATTCCAGTCTTGACTATTTTCGTACCAGGGACAACGACAGAGAAACAAGAGTCAAAGCAAGTAAAACACTGAAGCCTGAGCTACTAACCCACTTGAGATTTGGGCAATTATTTATGCTCATATGTTCCTCCCCAAATAGAGGAAAGCAGTGTCTTTCTCCAGCTGGGAGCAGATGTAAATGGAGTAAATAAGGAGAGTATAAGGGGAGAGTCTCACTGATGGATTGGACACAAATGTCTTCCATTCATATCTGTCATGATTGACTGTCAGCACCCAACCTCGTCAGGAGGGGTTTTCATGATAGAATTGCCAATTCTTGTAGACCTTCATGGCTCCCTGCATCCTTCACATCACAATGCAGATTCTGATTAAGAAGATTAATGTGATGATGTCTTTGGAAAGAAGACATTTCATTATAAACTCTTACCTTTCTTTCATTCTTCTTGCTGAAGATGAAACCAGCTCTATGCAGACTCCTCTGAGTGACAGCCACTAAATGACACGTCTACTTGTCTTCTAGATGTAGCATTGACTGCCGGAGTTAGAATGGAACCTACTGACCCTACTAACTTATCAAAATATTGAGCAACCTTGTCATTTCTGGTGTAGGTGTGCAGTGACTGATTAGATTTCAGATATGTTTCCATCATGACTCTTCATGAGGTGTTTTCTCAGCATTTGACTTAACTTTGTTTCTCTGTCTTGTCCTCTATCTCTTCCAGTCCACTTCCCTATTAATAGCTTTTGTTCTGGGGCCATTTGCTGCAGACCTTGTACCTGCCAAAAATAATAAGTGATGCCAGATCACACAGGAACACTTTTCACTCTGAACTGTAAATATACCTTCATTTGTTTATCACAAAAAGACACTGATGACTTGCTTTTCCCCTGGGTTTATGATAATTAGCAAAAGAAAAAAACAAAATCATAGAAAACTACTGAATAACAGTGACAGAAAAAGGGGAAACAGATATTAAATGGCAAAAGAGTAACTATTTTACTTCTAAGACAGAGATAAGAATAAGATATATACCTCGGTAATTCTAGTCATCTAGAAATTGTTTTAGAAATCCTAGATATTATAATGAAAAAAAAATATAAAGCTAAAAAGTTTGAAAAGAAAGTGCTAATCCAGGGAGCTCTGGTGGCCTAGTGGCAAGAAGCTGCACTGCAATTCCAGAGAGGCACTATTCAAATCCACCTGATGCTCTGCTGGAGAAGGAGGGGCCATCTCCTCCTATACCAGTAAGATCCAATTTGACAGTACACACACAAAAATAATAACGTAAAATAAGAAAAAAGGAAGAAAGTGCTAAGCCTTTCTATTTTCAGATGACATTATTATGTATGCAGAAAATCCTAAGAAATCTCATGAAGTTGTACGGAACTACTATAGAAAATTAGCAATTGTGTAAAATGCAAGAATAATATACAAATATATATGGCATTTGTGTGCTAGAATAGAAATGTCATATAAATTTCTAAAAATAGAAAGCAAAATTTAAAAAATAACAATGAAATATAAGTTTACTTTTTTTGGTGCCATGATGCAGCCCATGATCCCATGAACAACAGATGGAAACCTGTCCATATTCTCTTTCACAGTCAGCCTCTGACCTTGTTTTAACTATAGGAATAGAGATTTCTGTTCTTTCCACTGATACAGTCAATGTAATTCCACTGTGTTTCATCAAGTAAAGTTTATATGTATAGTCTCTGTTTATATTTTTTAAATGTATTTTCAATGAGTTAAGTCATTGATTGTACAAAATTCTACTATACACTCACGGACTTCTTTTTTTCTCATCCAAGCCATATTTTCAATCCTTCTTTTATTGCTTCTTCCTAGTATTTGCATTCCAGTCCCAACTATTATTTCTGCATGTTGATTACATGCTGGATCATTTTGGATTGCAAGAGTTGGCTGAAACCTTGGTGGCTGTTGTTGTTGTTGTTGTTGTTATGTGCCATCGAGTCGTTTGCGACTCATAGCGACCCTATGTACAACAGCCCTAAACCCAGCTCTATCCTGTGCCAATCTCATTGCCTCTGACACACCCATCCTGATTACCCCAGTCACTGAATCAATCCATCTCATAGAGGGTCTTCCCCTCCTGTGCTGTCCCTCCACTCTGCCCAGCATGATGTCCCTCTCTAAAGACCTGTCTCTCCTTATAACATGTCCAAAGTATGTCAGGCGAAGCCCCAGAATCCTTGCCTCCAAGGAGCAGCCTGATTTAACCCTCTCTAGGATGAATCTGTTTGTTTTCTTGGCACTCCATGGTACATTCAATACTCTTCTCCAGCACCACAGCTCAAAGGCGTCAATTCTCCTTCTATCCTCCCTAGTCATTGTCCAACTCTCTGATGCATAACAAGTGATTGCAAAAACCATGGCCTGTATCAGGCGCACCTTAGTCTCCAGAGAGACACCGTTGCTCTTGAGTACTTTAGAGAGGTCCCTAACAGCAGACTTTTCCATCGTAATACGTTTTTTTATTTCCTGGCTACTGGTGCCAAGAGTGTTGACCGTGGAGCGGAGAAGACTGAAGCTGTGAACAATCTCAATCTCTTCACTATCCATCCTGATGCTACCGATTGGTCCAGTGGTGAGAATTTTTGTCTTCTTGACATTGAGCCTCAGTCCATATTGAAGGCTACAGTCCGTAACCCTCTGCAGTAAGTGCATGAGGTCCTCCTCAGTTTCAGCGAGCAGGGTTGTGTCATCTGCATAATGTAGATTGTTGATAGATCGTCCACCAATCCTAACGCCACTCTTCTCCTCATAGAGCCCAGCCTCTCGGATAATCTGCTCTGCATACAGGTTGAAAAGGTATGGAGACAGGACACATCCCTGGCGCACACCCTTCCCCATTTTGAACCATGCAGTGTTGCCCTGCTCTGTTCTGACGACTGCCTCTTGGTCCAAGTATAGGTTTCACATTAGCATGATTAAATGTTCTGGGATTCCCATTCTTCTCAGAGTCAGCCACAGTTTGTTATGATCCACACAGTCAAACGCCTTTGCATAATCAATGAAACACAGATAGACATTCTTCTGGTATTCTCTGCTTTCAGCTAAGATCCATCTAACATCAGCTACAATATCCCTAGTACCATGACCCCTTCTAAACCCAGCCTGGACTTCTGGCAGTTCTCTGCTGATGTACTGTCCCAGTCGTTTTTGGATAATCTTCAGTAGAATCTTGCTTGCATGTGGAATCAATGATATTGTTCTGTAGTTTCCACACTCAGTTGGGTCGCCCTTCTTTGGGATGGGAACAAATACAGACCTCGTCCAGTCAGTTGGCCAAGTGGTTGTTCTCCAGATTTCTTGACACAACTTGGTGGGCTCATCCATGGCAGCATCTGTTAGCTGAAATATGTCAATTGGTATACCATCTATTCCGGGGGCCTTATTTTTTGCTATTTCTTTCAAAGCAGCTTGAA